TATCTATTGTCTATACCGGGAATTGAACCCGGGACTTCCGCGTGGCGGTCGCGCACCTTAACCACTACCCTATCGGGTACCCCCATTCATAATATAATATGGGACGCACTGTTGTTTCCGCGGGTCATTTTCTAATTAATTAGGTAATTAATACTAAGGTGTCGCGACGACACGCGAAAAAATACGCTTGATTGTAGCGTTACGGTGGTCTCGTGGTTAAGGTTGTCGCGTGCCACGCGGCGGACCCGGGTTCGATTCTCGGTAGGGTTAATGTATAGTGTAAGGAAAATTATAGGTAATAAGATATATAGTAGATATAGGTTAGGTGTATTCGGTATACAATGTAGGGATTTGAGAGCATATGATGAAATATAGCGTACGGTATAGATGTAAGGCGTGTAGTATAGAATGCAACGTATAGGCATACGTCAGGCTATAAAAATACACGAATAGGAACCTATTATATAGGTGTTAGCGTATAAGAAATGCGATTTAATTTATGAATATTATTTTTTCTACAAGAATTTTTATCTCGGTATATCTAAAATATCCAAAATATCCGTTAAGACATCGATTACACCTTACTGCTGCCTTTGCTGTTATCACTTCATAAAAAATTAATTACTGCACTTTTAAACAATTGTGTGCACAGTGCGACAATAACCATAGAACTATAAATTTTATTAAATGTTTGAGTAACTTGTGCGAGCTGATTTTCTTAAGATGTTCTTAGTCTCGCAACTTACCGAATTCTAAAAATTCTAAATTTAAAAATATAATATAAAAATTATTATACCGCTGTCAGGAAGGGATGGCAATTTATAAATATACAGACTAATACATACAGAATTTGGAATTTTTCTATAATCCGTAATATTGAGAAAGTTTGCATTAGACCTAAAATGGGATCCGTATTTACCTAAAATTATATGATTTGCACATGCATCTTGTGCTCACTTAAACTAAACAACGATCATAATATATTTAACGAATTTTTAACAGTATTTACTAATTACATTCAAATCACCCAAAGCAAGTGGGTTAAAATCGTGTAAATTTTTAATTTGCCTCTCCCCTTTGAATTTAAAAATGGATCTTTCTGTGGGGCGAGTGATTAAAAAAAATTACCAATAAATGTTGGATTGTAAAAATTTACAAGCGATCGAACGGCTTATATTTTTGCCTTAGATGGCAAACAATTCATCCAATTATTAAAATATTACATTTTTTTGCAGCTCTTATGCTTTTGTATTTATAGAATTGCTTTTTTCGCTACAATTAATTTCCATTATATGAATGTCTTAAATTATTTATTTTATTCGACTAACGTCCGCTATGTCCGAAACAAGTCCAACTTATATCCGAAATAATCGGGCATCAGACTCTTTTCGGTCTTAAAGTAACATATGTGAAGTTTGAAATACACTACTGTATTGTAATTAATATTTCAGTTCATACACCTCAATTTGTAACTAAATTAAAAACGACTTTGATAAAAACAGTGGTGTTGTGCTAATATTTTTTTATTGGAACGCTAAAATTTAACAACTGGTTCATAAACCGGTTCTCATTTTTTTTTCCAGTTCCGTTCGAAAAGGAAAGAAACAAAAATTATTACAAAACCCATTGTGTGCACATATATGTATGTTTATTACAATAATAAGAACATTTAATGAAAATTAGTTGGAACGCGTTCTTTCCCAAAAATGATTTGCCGGAACGACGATCCGGCGCGTTCCGGCTCGACAACACCACTGCCTATTACCTATATAAGGGTATTTCTATTGCATATTATAACTCTTAATAAAATATGAAAAATAATACATCTGTTTATAACAAATATTTAATGCAAAGAAAAGCTCTTCAATTAATTCAAATATTATGCAAAAACATACTATTCTATTAACCCCTAATGTATAATTTACAAAATAAAGCTTGATACATTTTTTTTAGAAAATATTCTGCATCACTGTGTTTTTTCATATTTTTTTCTTGCATTGAGAAATGATCAATCGAAATGAATTTTCGTAATTTTGCATATTTGGTTCCAAAGCAATAAAGTCTTTAGAAAATTCTTGAAAAATGGTTGAACCTATGAAAAAAGTAGGCAGTATCATTATTTGGCTCTGCTTGAGAAAACATCAAGCAAAAGCTAAATTTAGATCATTTTATGCCCAAGTATTACTATTTATCTGCATTAGTAGAAACGTAAAAGTTAGTTCTAAATTTAACTTCCTGTAGGGTTTCTGCTTGTGTTGATGAAACTATTGGTTTTGGGTAAAGAAATTTTTTATATCCATTTTTTATTTTCAAAAAAAAATTTTAATATCGAAAAGAATTCTGATTTTAGTTAGAATTCTAATTATAGCTAAAGTTCTAAACATGACTTATATACTTCAAATAAATAATTTTAACTTTGTAATTCAGTTTATATAATACTTACAATTAGAAATATTGGACAATGTTCTTCATTTTAAACTTGATAGATTAGGTTTTAATTATTCTGATTTTAGTTACAATTCTAATATAGCTAAAGTTCTAAACATGACTTATATACTTCAAAGAAATAATTTTAACTTTGTAATTCAGTTTTTATAACACAATTAGTAATATCAGACAATGTTCTTCATTTTAAACTCGATTGATTAAATTTTGTTTATTCTTTTTTATAATATACGAATAATGAAAGTTACATTATTTATAATCATCTATTTGAAAACATTTAATATTCCTCGAATATTTCATTATGGTACAGGAAGTTCCAGCAATTTGCCTTAAGGCACGATGCCATATAACACTTGTTAAATTCTGTGATGGTTAATTAATACCTACGTTTTGGAATCTCTCATCCAAGGGTAAGTTAACACATCACTCAATAATATACATAATATACATAGGGTATATCATAACTAATTATTAATTTATTTGTAATATATAATAATTAATTAAATAGTAGTAGGATATATTGTATCTGTGCAATATTAAACATCAAGCAGATCCTTTCTTAATTATTAAATTTAAATTTTATTTTATTAATCATATTATATCAAGGAAACTCAATAAGCACCTGCGGACTTATTGAGTGATGTGTTATACAGCATATTTTATAATGACTAATAGTTGCGTAATTTAAGATTAAATTTTAATTGAATGTCAAAATGATACATTATTGAAATTATCCAACACAAAGCAGTTACTGAGATATCGTCGTAGAAAGGATCTCATTTCAAATTCTATTACAGAGAGCGCCTTCGTTACAAATAAGCGGCGAGCTTTGGCATTATAGTTGTCCGGACAACATTCCTTCCGGGATTTATGTTCCGTTTATTAATGACCAAAGTGCAAATTGATACATTCCTAGTCCACAAGATAATGCGCATGATGAAATAATAACAAAAGCTACGAATATTCCATACAAAATATGCAGCTTTATGATCGTTGTAAATTGCACGATGCGCATTTTCACATGCGACGTAGAAATGATTAATTTTCTAGGAATTTGATGTAAAATAGTTTCTAATTATTGTGAAGTTATAAAAAGCAAAATAAAACTAGTGGTGTATGGCATTGAGCCTTAAGGCAAATTGCTAGAACTTTCCATACCGTAACGAAGTGTTCAAGGAATATTAGATATTTTCAAATAGATCATTATAAATATTGAGTTATATAAACTGAATTGCAAAGTTGAAATTATTTGTTTAAAGTATATTAGAACTAATTAACTTCCCATAGGGCAAGTTATAGTAATCGCAAAAAAATCGAAAATGAAAATTTTTATATATCTTTACGTTTCAAAACCTTCTGATGCACATTTTGGCATACCTTAGAAAAAATGGATGTATGTGTGTGTGTGTGTATGTGCGTGTATGTGTGTGTGTTCGGATACAAATTTTCGTCGACGATTTCAGGAACACGGATGAAGCGATTTCAATAATTCAAAAAACATTCGATTCGTATTGGTAAGGAGAAGTGCTGATTAGTTTTTGGCAAAGGCAGGTCTAGCCGTTCCGGAGATATGGGGCAAAAAGTGCCACAAACGGTAACTCAGTTTTTAAGAGAACGGAGCGTCCGATTTGAATAATTCAAAAAACATTTTACTTGTATTAACAAGATTAAGAACTGATTAATTTTCATGAAGGTAGGTCTAGCGGTTTGGGAGATCTAGTAAAAAAGTAAAAAAATGCCATTTGGCGGTCAAAAATGATCATTAGACATATGCACATCAAATTATTAGATATTTCATAGAAATTTTAACGATAAGTATAAATTTTGTTTACACATTCGATTCCTATGGGTTCCGTTCCAATGTTTATCCGTTAGTTCTCAAAAATCTAATTTTTTCAGAGTAATTTTTTTTCAAAAATGTTAATCTTTTCAAAAAAAATAATGTTTGGTAAGAGAAGTTCCAGCAATTAGCCTTAAGGCACGATGCCATGCGCTCGACTAGTTAAGAATAAAATCTGAACCATTTTCGATATACAAAAAAAAAATGAAACAATTTTTTTCCAAAAGCAATTATTTTGGTAAAACAAGCAGAAAGTTCTTTGAATCATTCAAAACTGTCTCTTAGTTTCCTAAAAAAAAACTGCCATTTTCTGTACAATTAGCTCGGTATCTCTAAAACGGTCGGATCTGCCTTTGCCAAAAACTAATTACATCTTCTCCCAATCATTACAAACTGATAGTTTTTTAGATCATTCAAATCGACTACTCTGTTATGTCAAAAACTCGATTTGTATTTTCTGCACTCTCTGCTCCGTATCTCCGTAACGGCTCAACCCACCTTTGCCAAAAACTAATCAGCATATCTTCCTATCAATAGAAATCGAATGTTTTTTGAACCATTCAAATCGATTGATCCGTGCGCCCGAAAACGTGGACGAAAAAATGCGGATGCGGATTCAAATGTTTTGAAATGTACTTCTAAAGTAATGTAAAAAACACATTGGTTAACAGTTAATTGAATTCAAATTAACTATATTTTTTATATTTTATTTCAGGTGAGCACCTGATACCAGCAGGTTGCATGATTCAGATGTCGTTGTTCTATTTGCACAGAGACCCGGATCACTTTCCGGACCCACTGAAATTTGACCCTGACAGATTCACGCCGGAGGCGTCTCGAGGCAGACACCCATACGCCTACGCCCCGTTCAGCGCCGGACCAAGGAACTGTATCGGTAAATATTTTTTTACACATTTATACTTTTCTTTATATATATATAGCATAGAGCAGAGGGGCTTAAAGATCCGCGGGTAAAGAAGTTATCATCAATATGTAAACTAGTGGGCATTTAGTCTTAAGCAGTGGTGTTGTGCTAATATTTTTTTTGCCGGAACGCTAAAATTTAAAATCCGGTTCATAAACCGGTTAAAAAAAAGTTATATATCGATAAGAACTCACAAATCTAATATATTGACTTCTTATATAATTAACTCTATTATATACAGCAGTACATAATTTATATTCTTTAATAACATTAATTATATTTATTGTGGTATTATTTGTATTCAATAATACTTACAGGTATTTGTTATGATATAAGAGTACTCAAGATTTATTACAATACTTTATAAGACTTAACCTAATAATATGATAGATAACCTATTATCTATATTACTATAATATATTATTGTATATAATTGGTAGATATCTATTATCAATCATACAGTGAGATACTTACACCGTCATTAACTTATTATATACCTATATACTTTTTACTTCTTATAAATATTACTGTCTAATTTATATATTTACCTATATTATATAGGTTTACCTTATGCCCTATGTATTATCTCTACCTATCTATTGTCTATACCGGGAATTGAACCCGGGACTTCCGCATGGCGGTCGCGCACCTTAACCACTACCCTATCGGGTACCCCCATTAATAATATAATATGGGACGCACTGTTGTTTCCGCGGGTCATTTTCTAATTAATTAGGTAATTAATACTAAGGTGTCGCGACGACACGCGAAAAAAGACGATTGATCGTAGCGTTACGGTGGTCTCGTGGTTAAGGTTGTCGCGTGCCACGCGGCGGACCCGGGTTCGATTCTCGGTAGGGTTAATGTAGCGTGTAAGAAAAATTATAGGTAATAGGATATATAGTAGATATAGGTTAGGTGTATTCGATATACAATATAGGGATTTAGAGTATGTGATGAAATATAGCGTATGGTATAGATGTAAGGTGTGTAGTATAGGCATACGTAAGGCTATAAAAATACACGAATAGGAACCTATGATGTAGGTGTTAGCGTATAAGAAATGCGAATGAATATAAGATTTAATTTATAAATATTATTTTTTCTATAAGAATTTTTATCTCGGTATTAAATATCTAAAATATCCTAAATATCCGTTACGGCATCGATTACACCTTACTGCTGCCTTTGCCGTTATCACTTCATAGAAAATTAATTACTGCACTTTTAAACGATTGTGTGCACTGTGCGACAATAGACATAGAATTATAAATTTTATTAAATGTTTGAGTAACTTGTGCGAGCTGATTTTCTTAAGATGTTCTTAGTCTCGCAACTTACTGAATTCTAAAAATTCTAAATTTAAAAATATAATATAAAAATTATTATACCGCTGTCTGGAAGGGATTGCAATTTATAAATATACAGACTAATACATACAGAATTTGGAATTTTTCTATAATCTGTAATATTGAGAAAGTTTGCATTAGACCTAAAAAGCAATGCTTATTTACCTAAGCTATGGAAATATATATGGAAAACTTATATGATTTGCACATGCATCCTGTGCTCACTTAAACTAAACAATGATCATAATATATTTAACGAATTTTTATCAGTATTTACAAATCACATTCAAATCACCCAAAGCAAGTGGGTTAAAGTCGTGTAATTTTTTAATTTGCATCCCCCATTTGAATTTAAAAATGGATTTTTCTGTGGAGCGTGTGCCCCATGTTGGGAATTACTAGTCTAGGAGTACATTTTTTTAATCTACTACCAGGTTAATCAATAATTGAGTGATCATCAATTCCAAAGCACCTTCATCAGATTTTTAAAAGATCAAAGTTTCCATGAATATGCATACAAATCTCAAATTGTAGGCCGAAATTTAGACAATAAGTCTATTGAAATATCAGGGTAACTCTTTTGCTATAAATTGTCAACTAATTTACCAATAAATAAATGTCAATAAAACAATGATTAAAAAAAATTACCAATAAATGTTGTTATTGCAAAAATTTACAAGCGATCGAACGGCTTATATTTTTGCCTTAGATGGCAAAAAATTCATCCAATTATTAAAATATTACATTTTTTTGCAGTTCTTATGCTTTTGTATTTATAGAATTGCTTTTTTCGCTACAATCAATTTCCATTATATGAATGTCTTAAATTATTTATTTTATTCGACTAACGGGCATCAGACACTTTTTGGTCTTAAAGTAACATATGTGAAATTTGAAATACACTACTGTATTGTAATTAATATTTCAGTTCACACACAACTCAATTTGTAACTAAATTAAAAACGACTTTGATAAAACCAGTGGTGTTGTGCTAATATTTTTTGTCGGAACGCTAAAATTTAAAAACTGGTTCATAAACCGGTTTAAAAACCGGTTCTCATGTTTTTTCCGGTTCCGTTCGAAAAGGAAAAAAATAAAAATTATTACAAAACCCATTGTGTGCACATATATGTATGTTTATTACAATAATAAAAACATGTAATAAAAATTAGTTGAATAATAATTTATAAAATTTACTTATTATATCATTTTCTGTATGTAGCGATTTTTTTATATTTTTTCTTGTCGGAAGGACGTTCCGGCGCGTTCCGGCTCGACAACACCACTGGTCTTAAGGCAAGTTGCATTAACTTCCCGAAATGTGTAAGAATTGACTTAATCAATGGTAATTGAAATTTAGATATTTGGATAAAATTTTCGACTGTTTATTTCAAATAGAAAGTTATCGCTTTCAATTAAATCCAAACATTGGGATTTCGAATAGAATTTTCTCAAACACATTTAAAGTAACTGTAATTATATTAATTATATTGCACAGTCACGTGCTTGTATACCCAAAAATTGTAGCTTATTATTTGAAATTTTAATGAATTTACAATGTTTGACTCATCACAACACAAAAGCAACTTTTGACACAAATTTTAACTATAATATTTTCTCAAACTTTGATGAATTTTTAACATTAAACTATTTGTCGTAGGGCCGTAAAATTTTAGTATGATCTCTAAGACTATGGTATCTACCGTCAAAAAAAATCATAAAAATTGTCGACAATTTTTTTTTAACACCTTATTACAAGAAAACGACCCTGCCAATCTCCACCAAAAACTAAATAGCACTATTACCAACCAATATCTTTCAAACGGCTTTTGAATTTGCAAAATCGATTCAGATGTCCGGGCTAAAACGTGGACGAAAAAATTTTCACTTTTCTGCAAATTTTATAAACGCTGGTCCTCATCGAGATACGTCGAATGGCTTTTAAATTTTTGAAATCGGTCCAGCCGATTTTGAGAAAACGTCGATTTACGGCAAAAAATCTGTTCACATATGCACATACACATATTTTTTCCAGTTCTGGTCTTATTTGATTCAGAATGGCTTGAAACGTGGAGAAAACAACATTAGCGAATCGGATTTTTTTAAGAAAACTTAGAATTTTCCTTTAGGAAGTTAAAAACAAGTGAAGTCAGAAATTTTTCAACAACAATATTTGAAAGTAGAGGTCAAAACATCTGTAATCAGCCATTGCAATAACTCAAGCAACGTCGTTATCAGGAGCTTAACAACCATGTTTTAAAATCTAGAACAGAAGTATTTTCTTTCGCTGTTTGTTTTTCTGGTTGTGAGCACTGTCGTTATTATTATTTTTGAATTATATTGAATAGATTTTTTATGTATAGCCTTCATAAAAGTATACATGTGATTGGAGCAAAATGAACCAACTGAATCTTCGTAAAAGTATAAACAATGAGAAATTAGTAAATAAAAAAGCATACTAAGTTGAAAAATGCTATTTAAAAAGAGGTACATCAAATAAATAGTTATTTCAACTCTGGTGATAAATTTTTCTGACGAAATACTATTTCAAGGCTATATACGGTTTTATCTTTGTAAAAAATGTGCATATATTTTGCGTTGGTTAAATAATGTAGCTATTACAATCGTACAATCTCTTTAAAATTACAATTAAAAACATTGGGTCTGTTTGCTCTCTCGCTGGGTAAAAAGGGACTCATGACAAATTTTAGAAAAATTGTGAAAAACATTTCTGTACTTAGGAACTAACAGGGAATTATGCTTAACATAGTATGGTACTTGTTTCTTTAATACGTTTTATGTGCTCTGATGTAGTTCATTTGGTTTAGACAATATAATTAACTTCCCGTAGGATAAGTTATAGTAATCGCAAAAAATCGAAAATGAAATTTTTATATATCTTTACGTCTCAAAGGTTACTGAATATTTTGTCATACCTTAAAAAAATGTGTGTATGTGTGTGTGTGCGTGTGTGTGTGAGCGGATACAAATTTTTCGTCGACGATTTTGGGAACACCGATCAACCGATTTGAATAATTCAAAAAATATGCGATTGGAATTGATAAGGAGACGTGCTGATTAGTTTTTGGCAAAGGCAATTCTAGCCGTTCCGAAGATACGGGGCGAAAAGTGCCAAAAACGGTAACTCAGTTTTTAAGAGAGCGGAGCGTCCAATTTTAATAATTCAAACCACATTTTATTTGTATTGACAAGATGAAGAACTACTTAAATTTTTAAAAAGGCATGTCCAGCTGTTATGTACTCTCAATAAAAATAAATAAAATGTCATTTGGCGGTCAAAATTATTTATTGGACATATGTGCATCAAATTATCAGATATTTTATAGAGATTTTAATAATGTGAACATATTTTGTGTAATTTTTTTTAGATTGCGTACCAAGATTTTTGATTACGGTACGGTAAGTTTCAGCAATTTACCTTAAGGCACGATGCCATGCAACCTAGTTACTGAAATCAAATTGGAGCTTTGTGCTCCTGACCTACAAACGCATTTTCTATATATGCTCTACATGCATGCACAAAATATTTCCGAATATACCATAAATGCAGCTAATATTTTGTTCAACCGAGTTTTGATTGTATCTTGTATTTTCTATCTG